ATAATTCAGTAACAGAAAGGAAAGAATTGAAAGAACTCTGTCTATAAAAAGAAGATTGGTTCTAGAGAGATTATGATGGAATAAATCCATTAGTAGGTGCTGCTTTAAACAACTGCTCACAATTTCTTTTTAAGAATGTAGTATTGTTAAAAGACTAACAAATGTGTTAATCAGGAATCTCAGAAGACAAATGTTTTCATTAGATAACAATCTGATTTTCTTAAAATTTTTAATATCACTTAAAATTATAAACTGATTACAAGTTTTAATCCCAGGTCAATATAGTAAGCACCAGGAACCTCACTACTGAAAAAGAACAGAAAGACCTTATTCAAACACAGAAAATATTAAAAAGTATGACTGCTGGAATTTTTGAATGCCTAATCAGGATGTTTTCATTCAAACAACTTACAATTTAATATGGAAATTAATCAACAATAGGGTATGTCCAGCAGCAAACATGAGATGTTATTAAAGAGATTACAGGTGAAAGATGCACCTTCAGTGGCTTAGTCAAAGAGACAGTCATAAAAGAGGAAAGTCTTAAATAAGCCTAAAATGGTGGGGAAGATTTTGATAGATACATTTGGGAGAAAGAAAGAATTTTTCCTGGGCTGGGCATGTTCACACAATAATATAAATAACACAAGATAAATAAATTAAAATTTTTTGTATGCACATTTTTAGTTCAGTAAAGTTGTTTTAAAAATAAATAGTAAGTTCTGTCTCTGCTCTCTACTGGGACTGAGAATGCCCTGCAAATGGCACTAAGTGGTTTATGTTCATTATTTGATAAATTCTTGTAAGTTCCTAGGGTAGAGGGTGGAATTACAGAGATAGAGAAACTTAACTGAACCTCCTTAGTGACTACAAGTGACCTCTTTGGGGAACATAGATGTCTACTGGAGCTTCTCTGGTTCCATATACCATTGGACTAAGCACCAATCTGTTTTGTTCAAAAGAAAGGCTTCCTTTGAGAAAAAATGAAATGTCCAGCTGCATGAAAGAATAATCTGAGAAGAAATTAAGTAACTCTTAAAGGGTTTGATTTGTACAGTAGAGGATGTAGATATTCTAAAATTCTTCAGTGAAAACAGACTTATGGTTTACAGATACTTCTTTGAGAACTCAGTGCAAGAGACCAGACAAATTAAATCAGAGAGGGAGAAAGAAGGAAAGAAAAAGAAAAAAGGAGAATAGAAGGAAAAAAATGGAAACAAAGCTTTTGTAAATAAGGAGGGATAAAGGGGATGAAGGGAGGGTAGGGGAATGGGATAAAAAGGAAAATCAAGATATATTATGTACAGGTACAAATTCCCTATGAAGAATGTGATCATCATACATATGTAAAATGTAGCAATAAAATGAAAAACACAAAAAGTACCATGGGGTTAGAGATGCAGTGGACCTCAAACTGTCCTTTACTCTGTACTTTTGCTTTTGGAAAGCTATTGGAAAGGAAATCTGCAAAGACACCTTTTTTTAAATCCTAAGTTTAGAAATACGTAGTTGTGAAACACGCATTTATTCTGATGAAGTAAAAACAGTCAAGGACTTAATTGTAGTCTCTATGCAGCAGAGACATTATTAACAGGAGAGGGAGTAGATAGGAAAATGAAAGTAGAGAACAGTTAGAGTAGGGACCATCTAGGAATCCAGTGTAATGGGACAAAACCAGACCCTGTCTTTAGATGGTGAATGGCTAATGAAAGGCAGAAAGAAACTGCAGCCAATTGGACCTAGCTGGACTCAGGCTTTCTTCCTAGGACATCACTGAAATATTAAAATACCTGTTATGGTTTATGTCTGTGTGTCCCCCCAAAGCCTCCTGCGGCCCTGGGGCAGGCTATTAGAGTTTGAATATGGGTGTGAGAGCTGCACCCGCCAGGGAGTGGATAGTTTGCATATGCAAGGGACAGGAAAAGAGTGCTTGGGGCATTCCTCCCCCATTCCGCCCCGTGTAAGTTAGTTGTTGCTTAGCTGTGGCTGCCATCCTGAGCTGAAGCTCTCTGCCACGTGCCACTCTGCTTTATAATCCTGCCAAGTACGGATTAAAACTTCCACAAACTGTAAGCAAAATAAACCTTTCCTTCCTTAATTTTGGGCATTAGGTATTTTGTCCCAGCAGCGAGAAAAAAGTAACCAAGACAATACCATATGGAACAGACTTCCCCAATTGATGGAGAAGCCTCAAATCTATTGTTTAAGGACTGCTAAGAAAACCTTGATGAGCCTTTGTTGTCCTCCATTCTCAGGGAGAAGTCCCATAACCTGTACAGGGCTACACATTCATTTCCACCTTTCCTGATAATGTGCTAGGAAAAAAACTAACGGAAACTCTCCAGATGTCCTTGTTGTGTCTAAGCTTGAATGACATTAACTAATTACACTTAGACTGTATGATAATCTCTCTTTTTAAAAAAAGTAATACCAAAGTGTTAGGTATGAATCTAAGCCTTGGCTATAAATTCCTACAAGGTAAGTCCAGCTTTCTACTTCTTTTCTAATACAGCTTGTATAATGTGGGGTATTGATGATTTATTGGCTTGTATTTTTCAATCAAAATAGATAAAAATTAAAATTAGTGTCTTGATTACCTCTTTTTCATTTCTGGGACAAAATACCTGACATCCAAGGTTAAAAGAGAAAAGGTTTATTTAGTTCAGTTTCTGGAAGTTTCAGTCCACAATCTGCTGGTTCCAAGGCACAGTGGCACATCATAAAGGGACAACAGTTCATGGTGGTAGAAGACAAGGAAAACAATAAGAGAAAAAGAGAGAGGAGCAAGCTTCCTTTCCTCCCATATATTTCATGCAGGCTGCTTACCCTAGGGTGGGTGTAGCACTCACACGCCCAATCCCAGCACTAGATAGTGAACAAATGACAAACTCTAGGTTCAGCTGCCTCAGAACAGCCTGTCTCCCATGACCACGTGAGGCTTCGGGCAGACATCCAGAAACAAACCATAGCAAAGAGTCAGCTGCATTCCTGTGTTGAAGAGTGGCTGCACATCCTAAAAAATATATCCTATTAGTTTCCAGCTATAATTTTGTTTTCCTGAATAGAAATCTGTCATAAACTGAAAGATTTTCTATGAAATTTGATGGGTTTAAGTAAAACTATGAGATGTGCTTCCTTCAAAGGAAATGAATATCATTCTTCAAAGCAGAATCAATTTGTGATTGTGACAGATTATATTTTTCAAATTTAGCTACAGTTCAACACTGCTACTTTGACGTCTTTGAAATAATTTACATAATAATTCTCTTTTTTAAACTGTTCTGTACTTGTTTGGTAGTTCACAAGAGGAATATTCCAAAGGGCTCCTTTTTTTACATTGTTTATTTTGTAAACTATTTGCATGATAAGTGAAACTCTGCTTTTAAAAACATACATAATTTTTTAATGAAAAGTGTTTTCTGATTTTTATATTGAAAAATTATTCTTCATTTGTAATTTAATTGTATAATGCATATATATTTAAATGCTATTTCATAAATCTTAAGTGACAAATATTTTTATTCCAAGAAAACTTTGCATTTTATTTTTCAAAAATTCCTGAAGACTGAACAATTAAGACTGAACAGTTAATTTCTATGGGATATCTAAACTGAGATCATTTACAAGCTTGCAGGAAAATGACCAAGAAGAGAAATAGGATGTAATCAAACTATGTGCCTCAGATCTGCAAGCACAGCTCTCTGCTGAGTGTGGGCACCTAAAAACGCACTGACAGACATCTCAAAGGGAGGTGTAGCTGCTCTGTACTGATAATTTCAAAGGCTTTCATCTGTTGTTGGCTTAAGACAAAATTACCAATAGTTTTCAGGAAAGCAAAAGAAGGACATGAAGTGAATCTTTCATAAAATAACTGTCATTATTACTATTAATAGTATTATTATTAATGTTATTATTAGATATTATTACTAATTATTTAGGGGCCAAGGATTACTAATTATTTAATGTAAATATTTATCCTATGATGTGAAGCTTTCTTTAAGCCTGTTTCATTATAAAATTACAAAATATTACCATAATTAATAGAGCAATGTTTACTGTTTTTAATAACTCTACTTGACCAAAAAAGATATTAATCTCATATTAATTGCCATTTTTTCTTTGAAACTAAACACTGAAAATCTAGAATGGTAACCACTACTGTAGAAAATACGAATGAGAACTTCAGTGGCTGTCTTTTTTGTGAAAGCTCAGGGCTTACAGAGGGGCGTGAACTACCCTTTGGCTTATTATTTTAGAAAGAAGACAAATAACAAGTTAGAGGTAAAAGGAGTTTTCTAGCATCTAGGACATTTTCTTTAGAGGATAAATGTTATGTCTTGGTGTCAGTCAATCACCTGAAAACCTGAATTAAAGTATCGATGATTGCTAAAATATATTATTACAGCAAAGTGCTTCAAATTAATTTGAGAAATTCTGGGGAATCTAAGCCGAGGTAAGAACATACTTCTATACCATTCAGGCTTTAATTATGTATCAATCTTAATCCATCTTGGATATCGTATTTATTCTACTGCTTACAAAAACTGAATTTGGCATCATTTAATTATTTCATAAAATATTTCTAGAGCCGGGGATATAGCTCAGAGGCACTGTGCCTGCCTGGGAAGCACAGGGTCACGAGTTCGATTCCCAGTACCAAAAATAAAGAAAGAAAGAAAGAAAGAAAGAAAGAAAGAAAGAAAGAAAGAAAGAAAGAAAGAATAAATAAAATGAAATAAAATAAAATGAAATGAAATATTTCTAGACACAATTATCCCTTCCTTAACCTCAGGCAACAGATTTAATATAGAATTATCATGGAACTGATAATCTATAATTGGCAAAGCCACCCACTATTCCAGGATCACTACAAGTGATGAGAAGCTGATAAAATTGAAAAATATCCCAAACAATGTGACACAGTCTTAAGGAAACATAGGGTATCTTGAGTTATGGTACATTTGATGTTCTGTTTTCTTTCCCTTCTCTTCCCCTTCCAGTGAAATCAGATGAATTACAGACAATCAAGAAAGAATTAACTCAGATCAAAACTAAAATTGACTCCTTGCTAGGACGCCTGGAGAAGATTGAAAAGCAGCAGAAGGCGGAGGCAGGTAAGTGGAAAGAATCTGTGGACAAAAGCAAGTTAGAATTAAACCAGTGAGGCATCATCAGTCACAGAGGCTGCAGGCCCAAGAGATGGAAGCAGAGTGATCTGAGAGGTTATTACAGATGCAGGATTAAAGCCTGTCAGTGACAGAACACAACTATGGAATATGATTCTGTTATCTTTGGAGAGAAGGAACCAACTTTTTTCTGAGATTACTACCAAAATAAGGCAAAGTATTTTGATGGAATAATTAGTAAATAGTTAGATTATAATTGAAAGTTTATATTTCACTATGAAGTAAACTTGAAGACAATTAATGGGATAATGGTATCAGGCTTAAATGATAGTCATATTTCATCAAATTATCTGCACAAAATTTGAACAAGTTTCAGTTACCATCATTATAAAGCTCAACTCCTGCTATTGCTGTCACCCTTCAAAACTTCAGTACCCAATTTTAGGAACCTCAACACCAGCAGCAGGCCCCTGACCACCCAAAGGCCAAGTTGTTTGACTATATCCTTTACAGCATGATGGATGACTTTTGTCCTGTGAATTATCCATTCTGACCCTAGCTGCATTCTACCACAATTGTAACACTCTTTCCATGTAGCTACACGTGTCTTTCAAGCCACAGGATGTGAGAACTCAGATAAACTCAAAGTTAGCACACAGTTGGAAACTTGTGTTCTACAAGGAAACTGGATGCCCCCCAGACTTTCCTGGAGGTGAGGTAGGGATGAAAAAGAGACACAGTTTGGAAACTAACTTGTGCCTTCTCCAAACCCAGCCCTTACTCCAACCAGTGTAGTTCACCTGAATCTGTCTTATATATTGGGATTCCATATAAGATGTAATATGCTGAGAGAATTTTGTTTCTTAAAAAACAAATAAATGAACAGTGCAATTTTGAAAGCTACTAATATATTCAACCTTCCCATTTTATATAAGAGAAAACAAAGCCTCAAGAAGGCAAATTAATTAATGTATACTTTATATCTAATTAATGATGTAATTGGATCTCAAACTTTTTCACCTAACTCAGTGGCTGTTCTAGTTTAGAGCCTCTATTCAAGTTTTCCCCATGGCCTAGCCCCAGCATTTCATGAAGTAAGGCTTCCTAGATAACACCCAACTGATGGTAACTAGTTGGAACTGAGGGACCTTGCACTATAGCACACAGGAGTCTGCCCATTTGTTGACTCATTACTGAGGTGAGGACCAGATCTCACCTCTGAGGAGAGCCAGCAAGAGGCTTAAGAGTGAAAGGAAGCCAGATGTGAAGCAGTGGAATAACATAATGGGTGAGAAATAAAATTTGGATCCAATTTTCACTCATCACATACTTAACCTCAGTTTTTTCATTTACTAAATGAGAAGTTCTAATGGTTAACTTACATTGTGAAAAACAAATAAATTAGCATATGGAAGTTTTATATCACAGTCATGGAGAAATGATAGAATAAGTCAGACTGTTTCTATTAAATTTTCTATAATAAATGTATTTTATACTGAAAATGATATGCTGCCTACACTCCTTAGTAAAGAAATTTACATTTTTAGAAAGTTTTTATATGCTGTCTATGGCACTAATCTAAAGTGTTGCTATAACTGAAATATCTTGTGATGTTGCCTAAATCAATATTTCTCTTTGAGGAACTTCTGTGAAATTCATTATTATGTAAAACAACCCTTGCAGCAAAAGACTTTGATAACCAATTTGCACTTCAGTTTAAAGGATTATGGAGAACTCATTTAAATATAAATCACCTCAAAGAGAAAAATGTGATCCTTATTCCAACATATTATACCTTCCAGTTTTCTGCAATGAATAATACCTGCCATAAATCTTCTTGGAAGATCATCTATAAACGTAACACTAAAACTCAAGCCCGGATTTTCTTTTTATGAAAACTGTCACCTTTCTTTTGCATGTTTAAGCTTTCTCAGTCATGAGACAGTGACTTTTGAGATGATAGGCCTTTGATGCTCATGTTTTTCTTATTCCAACAAGCCATGAAGAAAATAAATATATATAATATTCTCTTAGTGATATTGATATTTTATATTTTCTTGGTAATTTTCTCCTGAGCAATATATATATTTATAGTGATAACATAATCATCACTATATCTCTCTATGTTTTCTTTATGGAAAAAATCAAGATTGTACAGAAAGAGTTAACACTACTTTTTAGAAAGTAGAGTAAAATGCATTAAAATTCATTTAAAATTAAAGTCTTCTTATTAAATTGAAGGGGGTACTCATTTCAATGCTTAATTGCCAATTACTGGTTAAATAATTAGTGTTTAACAGCTAGCATTTGCTCTTTGTTATTGCTTTTTTACACACTTCTGATTACTGTTTTACTATTAGCCATTTGATAATGAAAGTTTCGAACATAAAAATATTAGGAAAGAGACGAGGAACTAGGAAGAGAATGCTAAAGAACATGGAGCATATCCTGAATTCAAGTTCCATGGTATTATTGGTATTATTCTTTGAAGTAAATTCCAGAACTCTCAGAGGTAATCACAATGAACTACAATGACATTGTTTTGAATTCTCTAATCTTTACTTGCTTCTAATAGATGTTTGTGTATTGTCTTGTGGCTTCGTTTGAGATTTTAAACTTCCTAAAACCAAGGGCATATCTTTACTTCTCTAATGTCACATGGCTCCAGGTATCATGTACCAGTCATGTAGCAAGTCTCCAGACCCTCAAATGTAAATTACCAGAATGATTATGGCTTCAAGTATATATTTAACCATTTAAAATTATGATGATTAGCATTCCACCATACATATATTATGTTTTCTTGAATAACAACATGATTTATTTGGGTATAGAGAGACTATGTATACTACAGAAAACAACAAATAACCCTTGATATCATTTTAGCCTATAATTGTGTCTCATTCTGGGGTGATTCTTAAAAGAGCCACATATAAATTTCACATACACACAGCACAATTTATAGGCCTTATATTATGATGTTAAATGACTGGAAAGGGTGAAAGCCGTGAGAAAACAGTAAAGACTGGGTATCACAATGTATACATAGTTACTCTACGGTAATTGTGTATTTTTAAATGAAATTTGAAACATAGACTCTCTAGAGGTATAAGAGGGCACTTAGACATTATTTAGTTCATTGTTTTTCTCACTGGCGTGTGTGATAAATAAATAGCCATTCTCACTTGGACAATTCCAGTCATATCTTTGGACTGTTAGAGTTATGCCTTAGAGAGCTCAAAAACAGAAGAAACATAAGATAAACTTATTCTACTCATAAATTCTAGTAAGACATGAACTGTTTATAAGATTAAAATCCAAAACTTTACAAAATGATAAATATGTATCAAAATGTATGGCTCCTTGTGAAAATTAGAATTTTTTAATACTGCTACTCCAAAAAGCATGCACTTTCAGTTTACATTTTTATTCAACCAGATCACATATTTATGTAATTACTTTGTCCCTGTTTACATCAGTATCTGATAAACCTTTGATATGCACTCCTTAACTCCGAATAAAAATGCATTTTGGTTTCACTTGGTTCCCTTATTCTTCATATATCTTCTAAAACAAAGCTTAATCTCTAATTTCTTGATAATTCAACCATCAATTCAATATTCAAGAAGAGCTAAAATATTTTCACTTCTCCAAAACCTTTGAACAGTGAGTCAGTACTAATACATAAATATTCACCTTAAACTGCATTCAAATTTTTACCAAAGCATTTCTTTGTCTAAAAAATATGAATGGTCCTTCAGCTACTTCTCTTATAGGTTGATTTTGCATCTTGAACCACTGTCATCTCTCTTTTCTACTCATTGTGTACTTGGAAAAACATGGATTGCCATACTTAGAATGGAAAATGTTGCTTCAGATATGATCTGATGCCTGCACCAGATAATGTGACTATTGCTTCTGTCCTAAATACCTTGCATTGTATCACTGCCAATTTGGAGTGAACTGGTGATCCTTCTAGTTAAGATAATGGATTAAACACATGAAATTGAGCTGTTTGCTCTTTAAACTGTATTATCACAATGATGGGATTTAAATAAAAACAAAAACTCCTTAAGTAAAAAGAGCATAAAAATAGAGATTAAAAATAGGAAGAGAAGGATATAAAAGTTACAGGATGAATATTGGAATAATAGGGTTCCAGAAAGAATGACAGAATAACCACTCAAATATGTTTTCATATTTTTAGAAAAAATGAATTAAAACTGAGAGATAGTTAACTGGAATGAAAAGATTAACAACTGCCTGGAACAGGGAATGAAAATAGATGCACATCATGATTTATCATTGTAATATTGTAAGACGTAGGGACAAGCAGAAGATCCTATAAACACCCAGGGAAAGGGAGAAAAATAAAGACAGAATAGTTTTGTATAAAGAAAGTAGAATCAGAAAGCCATAGCATAGAGCTTCTCAACAGCCACACTCTAGGCTAGAATGCAACAAAACATGTCTTAAACATTTTCATAGATGATTATTTACAACCTAAGATTCTATACCTGGTCCTCAAACTATTAAAAGTGAGACTATATATAGATATATATCTATAGATATGGGTATATTGATATATCTATATATAATTTCAAATTTTTATTTTAAAGAAAAAGGAATGAATATACATTAACAAACAAAGAAACAAGAACAAAGCAATAGAAACAATACAGAATTTCAGACAAGGTGATAGGAAATTGGCTGTTGTATTACATATTATTATTTTCAAATGGGTTACTCAGTTAAACAAATATAGGTATGTAAGATTGATTAACCAATTTAACATTAATTGTTCCTTTCAAAAAACAGTAGAAATCAGTACTACAACTATCTTAGCTGTCTTGTGTATACATATAAGACAGGGTCTTGCTATGTAGCACATTTTGGTGTTGAACTCACTATGTAACCCAGGCAGGCCTCAAACTCACAGCGATCCTTCTACCTCAGCCTACCCAGTGCTTGGATTACAGGCATGTACC